TTGTGTTAACAAATTTCTAAAATCTCACTGCAGTGGGATCAAAGTGTCTTCTACAATGTTCTGTGCTGCAGCACAGTGCAAGAAGACGACACCGAGCCACCAAAATACTGTGGAGAGGATGACTGTTATTATCAAAGATGGTCTGTACTTTTGTTTCTGTACACCTTTCCACCGCAATTCCCAGTGATGCCACAGTCCTGCCCATTACCAAGACTTATCCAGGGATCGTGCGTCATCGCTAACACACAGCAGTAATAAAGAGGACGCTGGTAGCAAAAATCTGATAGAATTAAAACAGCATGTCACCGTCTACATTTAGTAAGTCTGCACTGGCCCTTCCTGTACAGGACATCTGCAACCAATCTGTTATATTATCAAGGGGGACACCTGGATATTTATAACTCTGCACCACCTCAGTGTCCTCTCCACGGATGTTGATAGGCCAAAGACGGAGCTTAGACCTATGGAAATCTGCACTTACCCATGCATTTTTATTTTACAGCCAACTTTATTTGAGCATTTTTAAAAATCATATTAGAGGAAAGGGCTTTAGGCGGATTGCATCAACTATTTGGGGAATTTGATGTTAAAAACGTTTGACTCCCAGGCAATATATCCTTGCAATTTTAGCTATCCCATGAATTTTCCTCAAGCGTCACCGTGACGTTGGCAGTATCTGTTTTGTTTTTTTACGTGGATGACTCAGCAGCGACTGAAAGGACTGGAAATGAATTAGTAGACATCAATGTTTATGTTGAGAATTAGAAAACGAGGATAAAACTCAGCAGAGCAAACGCTGCAGACTCGCATGTTAGCGTGTTTATTGGCAAGCACTGTATTTAGTAATGCACAAAAATGGATGGGCTGCACTGTTGGAGCCATGAAATAAACAGATGACGACCTTGTCAGGTCGCTGGGCTATTGGACAGCCCTGTGGAAGCAGAGTTTTTTTTTTTTGGGGGGGGTGTTTCTCCTCTGCATCTCATAAGGGAAACAAATGGACCTCAAGCAGCACTCAGCAGATGTGACACTGGTGGCTTTATTATGAGAAATGGCTAGAAAGTGGCACAGGACCCAAATGTGACACAGTCACAGCTTTGCTGCCTGGACCTCTGCATTTGAAGGACGGCAAACATAAAAAAAATATTACAGATCATTTTTTCCAGGATCAAGGTAAAAGTTAATATGAGGAGCTCACCTCAGAGCTCAGTCTAAGCTGTGGCATGACTTTGAAGGTTTAGTGTTTGTAGTCCATGGGTCATGCAGGTCTGCTTGGATAAAGTGCTGTTTTTGGGATGCATGCACCTTAACAGGCTGATTAATGCCCGTGAGCACAGGCAGTAATACTCTCTCAATCCCAATTTCCCTTTAGAGGATTTTCAGAGGGGCAGAGAACTCTGGAGCATTGGTTCATTGCTCCTTTGTTAGTTTTGTTGGAGGGGAGGGCGAAGCGTTTTAAACCAGTGGAAAATGAGCATAAGAAATGGAGGGCAAAGGGTTATTGGTACAAAATTAAGGTCTATTCAGATTCAAGTACCCTTAACAGAGGCAATTTTACCTTTCTGGATAATTGTGTTTGGGCCAGGTGCCAGGTGAGGAAACTTCCATGTGTATTGTCATTATTTTTATTTTATTTTTTAGAAAGTCAAACAGCTATTTCGTTTTTCAGATGCATCAGTGAAAAGTCAGCACATCTTTTCTTGGCATTCTGTAATTCTCTGCTTATTTAAATGTTGGGGG